TGAAAACTCGAACTCAGCCTCCTCCTCGGACACAAAAGCTGACAATGCCTCTAGTATTGTTAACGCAGTGATGTTCCTTAATTGATACGTACCCATATTTGGATCGATTACCAAACTCTGCCCACATCATCAACACATGGTAAGGAAGAAAACAAGTGAAATATGCAACAACCACCATGATTAACATACGGATAACTTTTCCTTTTGCCTGAGCAACTCGGAATCCCTCTTTGTCACTCTCCTGATCGGCAGCCTTTTCTAGTTTGTACACAACAATGCCGTACCACACCGCCATTAGTGGCAGCGGCAATCCATAGGTTAGCAGGAACGATAGMACCGTGTACACTTGGCGATAAATAACCTTGGGCCAAACTTCAACGCAAATTTCACCATTTTTGTAGGGAACAACTTTATTGATGATAAGAAATGGTAAGCCCACAAAGAAAGAAAGGATCCACACTCCTGCAATTATGAACTTGACCTTGGATATACTTATACGTGGTTCGTAGGGATAAGCTATTGAACGAAAACGATCTAAACAAATAGAAAAATAGAATTCAGTAGTTATAAAACCCAGCATTAGTGATAAAAAGCGTTTCATGTGACGTCAAAAATTTTATCAAATCTCTGATGATACAAGCTTATGTTCATAACTATGGGTATTATAAAGTTATAAGAAAAAAAATAAGTGTAAACAATTGTTTGGTTCTCCGGCGGGATATTAATGATTAAAGTATCACGCAAAAGTCGTGACGGATCTATAAAAACCCGTTACAATTCGATGTGCACAAAACATTTTGCCTCATATAGGCACATTTTATTGATCAATTGAATGCAAGATTAATATCACGAAATATGTCAAAACATTCCAATTTCTGTCATTTTGTAAACCGTTGAATCCAGATCGTGGTCAGATGTTGACCACCACCTGGATTTCTCCATACATTTTTACCAAATTTTGCGAATCTTCGATTGATAATAATTCCGTAAGCAAACGCTCTACAATGCTATTTTTTGTCAAACTATGAYGTTTTTTTATGCTCTAAAAGGGCATAAACGTCATTTTTTAATTCGAGTGAAATAAAAATTGTGATGACGTAACTGAAACCCAAGAATATTCAATTCACTTGTATCTTTTTCAACGCCCTGCATTCAAATTGTGAGTTACGAACCTGCAGTAGAGTCAGGGAGGTTGAAATTGCATTCCCTGGTTTTCTGCAACCTCTCATCCTCGATCGATGCTTTCTCTGTCGGCATTTTTAAATTGCCGGGAGATCCAGTGAAAACTCAAAAAGATTTACAACTTACTTAATTTTTGTTTGGGCAACAAAGACGACATTTATTTTTTGTTATTTATTTTTGCACTGTGTTAGGATATCATTCGGCCGGGTTTCTTCGACCGGATTCCAAAAGCTACATAAAATATCTGGCTGCGATTAAAATTTTCCGATAAGATGCACATGTCTTTTTAACCAAACGCAAAATCTCTTTCATAATTCGCATCTTGTTAATCCTTTTGTACCATTGATATCACGTAATTTTACCATGAAAGCCGTTGTTGATGTAAGTAAATAAACGCTATATTCTACATATCGCCGCATTGGATCGCAATCAAAAAGCCGGTTTCACTAGGGGTTGTACARGCTGATTATCAGGTTGATTATCGTTTTTGCGCATTACGTTGCACTTCATTACTAATKAAGTCAGGAAATTGCCACACGATCTTATTCAAAAGCATTTTCTGAATGGAGCGGATTTCGTATGACTGTGCAAAAAACACGKTCATTTCGCGCTGTGACCGTACCGTACCGTACCGGTGATGTATTGTTAAATCTTTATTATTTGGGATCCTAGAAGGCKAGGTTCCGAGACCGTGCYGTGCCGTGCCCTTGTTGTGATCCGTGCCAWTRCACAGTTATATGAAATCCACTCTATTGCGTGTAAAAGAGACAACTTYCCATTMATTGYATTTACCAAAGCTGATAGCCAGCAGGGTGGACACAGATGCCATTATTGCTGATGTTTGGAAGGCCCACAGAATCTTGCACATTGCTAGCCCAAACAGCCAGACCTTTAATTCAGCGTAGGCCAAGGTAAACGGGACACAGAATAAAGAAACTCCAAAGTCAGCTACTGATAGATTGCAGATTAGATAGCCAGTAACTAGGTATTGATAAATCACAGTTAGTAYAGGRTGGATCCGTGKTTACGTTTTCCATTCGAATCCAAAKGGAAACTAATAAGATAGCATTCKTGCCCGATTAAGCGTGAAGTCAAACAAGCCATGGAATTGATCGTTTTCAACCATTCCAATGAAATTCAAAAAGACCGGTGGCCATGAACAATGATACTAATAAGAAACCCTTTGTTGAAGCTTTTGCTGTGTTTCTAAAAATATAATATAAAAACGACTTTTACTGATGTCTATTTTCTAGGTGCCATAAATAGTGCGAAGAATGAAACTCCCCTTAAGCTTTGTTGTGCAAAGTGCCGTCGTCGTTGATTTCGATTTTATTTTCTATTTTCACATGATAGTCAAATTTTGTTTCGCGGTATAATGACATTTAGCGAGACAGATAGTTCAGTGTTTGTAGTACACTCTGAATCTAGAGATTTCTTTTGTCCACCAACAAATACAAAATAAATAAGCCATTTTCATAGAACGCAAGTACAAAAACCCATGAAATAAATATTAGACAAATACACCTTGTTACGCTCTAATTTCATTGTTTTCGTTTATGCCTATTTGACCATCTCATTTCAACACAGTTAGATTTTGTTTCACGGGCCGAATAACTTCATTTAAAAATATTGCTAGATTTCATTGAAGAGGTACTGTCAAATACTAACGACTCTAGTAAATTGCGTGGAGCTGAATAAAAACCTTAAACCAAAATTTCACGGTTTTAGGGCACAACTCACTYAAACTTGCATAATGGAGATGTATTATTCGCAAGATTGTATTTATCGCTCATTTGTCGTGAATAGCAATTGCAATCGAACCGTAAGAAAAAAAAAATGAAATGAAAAATGATGTTTTTCTGCAAAAAGTTTGATATGTAAGATTGTTATCAACGTTGCGTGCCATAATACACACTAATAACCACTAATGATCGGAAGATTGGCYTATAATGATCGGTAATGACAATATAATCCATATAATCACCACTGTGCCAGGATTGTTTCAATTGACATTCATCTAATGAGATTATCCGTGTGCTACATAGTGGACTTCAACAGAAGGCTGAGTGATATTTTCAAAACGCATGTGAACSACACGTTCGTGCCCTTTTCTATGAACGTTGGGGCCTCTTAACTAGACAAGTAATTCCTATTAACGCCACGGCATCAAAAACGAAAAACTGATATATTACTATCAATATATGTCGCTGATCTTGACCGAAGTTTAAAAGACAGTTTTCCAAAAGTTCCAATGTATTAAATTGTTTCATATTTTTTTGTATGAAATGTACAATCCAAACATCAATATTATGACAGTGAACAAGTATAGCAGTCATCCTCAAGAATTCTCACTCCCGATCATATCACACCTTTATTATGATGAATTAAAAAGAGACTGATTCTCGTTAAGGGCTATTTTTGCGGCWTWCATTTCAAGGATTTAGGTCTCCRTGGATCTTCTTTTACACATTCATCACTAGGCCTACCATCGAAACGTTCCAATTAGTATGCTGGGGTTAATAASTCTAAAGATGTTTGTTCAAGTAATAGCAAAAGCGCAGTAATGAAGAATTATAAAGTGTACAACTTTATTGAACGTTTTCACCCAATTGCAATGACTAAATTCAAAAGATAAAAGAGAGGCGGCCATGTTGGAGGAATGAACAAAAGATACTAATGAGATAATGAGAAATCCTTTGGTAAATTTCAATCAAGATTGCCCCTGTGACGTATTGAAGACGAAGAATATTTAATGTATCTTACGGATTTATAAAAAAAAACCGCCGCTGGTTCAGATTATGTGTCACCACTTGGCTTTGTGTTTTACTATCAATTTGTTATACTTTGTTTTTTTTATTCATTTATTTTTTAGTTTTTAATTTTATTATTTATTTTTYTATTTTTTTCTATGGTCACACTCTGATGGGCCTACTGCTCAGTMATCCGATCGCCCCAAGTATTGGTAGCTTTCTTTCATAAGATTTATGCAATCAACCAATAGATTTGGTCTTGAAAATGAAATAAAATATATAGTAATCAAATTTGTTTCTTCAAAATTAAATTGGAAACATCATTTTTAAAAATCATCAAATTTGCTTGCAACTGGCTTCGGGTTCCTTATAAGAAWGTATAGCTCTCTTTTCAACCAATCACGCCACCTGTTTTAAATTATTAATATAATAAATAAGGTCAAAAAGTCTTATTMACAATTAATGAGCTATTAGGCAATCGGAGTAGGCTATTTGATCAMATGCATGAAACTTTATATCTTAGTGCTCTACATGAAGAGTATTAATAGCGATGACCTTTATCAGATTTGAACATCCATTATCCTAACACAAATCAAAGTTTCAGACAATAACAGTATAAGAGTAGTTATAGTACACAAGTATTCGATGTGGGATGACAAGCGAGCTTTATRCACCAGTGTTTCGCGCATGATCAGATTGTCTCCTTACCTCCAAACATAGATTATTAAGCATTTTTTWAAAATAATCCATAGAGATTGAGTTTCAAATCATTGTTGGAGTTTTTTAAGCCAGAACACTCGAGAGAGTGTTTTATATTAGCATTATCAAATTCATTAATGAGTCATAAGTTTAACATAATGGAAAAATCATTGCCATGGCAGCATCTTTATATGAGCAAGAAATTTGTCTTGATTTGCATACGACTTTAACTTCGAKTTTTCCTTTAAAATTATATGTTATCTTGAATTTTTTTTTGTGAAATAYACTTYAGCTTATGTTGGAATTTGATTATGCAATATAAAATATTCTCCCTCTCAAATTTTATATATTAACTAGCGTGGCTCGAATCTTTTACCCTTGCCTTGGCTTGTGTTCCTTTTATTGGCAGAAAARTTTCGCCGCGTCTCCCTCGGCTCAAATACAGTATTAAAAAGCCAAATCTGTTTAACCCGAGGGTGCGAATCTTTATACTGGTAAGACGTACACTCTCTTAAAAGTTTCCTTAAGCAGGCATTTTCTAAGACAAGGCAGTATTTGTTATCGTTTTTTTTTTTTTCTAAACAACTGAGTCACATTTTTAAAAAAAATAATTAACCTAAAAAGAAATCTTGTTGAAGCAGCGTAATTTGATAGCCGTGATGAACACCTACTGTCTAGAAAGAAATTACTTGTTCCTMTGTATAATTTGCCAAAGCCATTGTGGTGCTAATTATAAACCAGCTATTTTAAGAGCCATGTACTACTCCAGAAAGTGTACGCGATAAAGAATGTTCTGGAAAGACGATGAGATTAATGAAGTAATATGAAACGTCTTGTCTGTTTGCAAGTAATGGAAGCATATATATGACCCATTATCGTGATTTTCAATTGATAGTGTGATAGAAAAGCATTATAATGAGTAATTYAACGCATTTAGCAACTGATAAACGATTAATTCATTGTATAATGTGTCAGGGTACTTGAAAAGTGTTGATCAACTAGATACTAAAGCTCATTGGGTGTTAGAATCAAAAAACGAGCTCTTATAGTCTTTGCTATTTCGAATTTCCYAGCTAATATGCTAAAATGCTAATTTATGTGATATTTTGATTCATGAAAAGAAGGTCGGATTAAAGGGTCGGCAGAATGGATTAACCAGTTCCTTTTGCACGACAATTAGACCAGAGAGGAAATCAAGATCAGTTGCTCAAGTTTGAAGCTTATCCATCAKGAGCGATTAAGGTCACCTTCGCCGCAAGAGAATAATAACACTAGAGTGTCTTTTCGCCTATTGATGAGTTGCAGCAGCAAGGATTTCGCTCACAAGGTCATGTCGAAGTGAAATTTTAACCCWCAAAATACTTTGATTTGCGAAATATTTGAAATGCAACAGACCTGAGGGATAAAATAGCACTTGGCCGGAGAAGAACACTCAAGCAGAAAATTAATATAAAAAGCCATAATAAATGATATTTGTATATTGTATCAGGCAAAATTGTCACTGCGTGTCTCTTTTTTGGCCTTTGGAAACCATGCTGTTTCGAACAATGTAATATTAATCCATGTCTAAAAGCACATAGCACGTCAACATGGGTAAACATTCCTCCTATATTAGCATATAATCATGCAAGAATCTTGACATTTCATTGACAAAACAAATCTATGATTATCGTTTCATATAATGATTCATGATTTCATTGTGTATGTTTTGATAGACCTTTTAGGCGTTTCGTGGACCCAAATAAAGTAGGCTCTTGAGAACCCCTCGGGAGACACATCGCTTGGAGCTAAAAATCTCAGGTTGTTTTCAATGCTCTGCAATGTCAAGAGTGTGGCGGGCATTTAAGAAGCTCGTAAACACTCCTATCTCAAAAACTTGCTAAAACTATTTCTAAGAAGTTCAATCACTTTGAATCTAAAACCCCACAGCCTGTGAAGTAATAGTCTAGTTTCATGACAGTATTAAACCAGGAAAGCAATATCCTTACCTGTGTGTAATTCACGTGTTCGATAGACGATCCATATTACTAGAACATTACCAAATAATGACAGCAGAAATATTATAGCGTATAAAAGCAGACGGAATATATAGGAACCCAAAGGCTCCTGTACATATACCGAGCCATAATTCCGTGTCCCATTCTGAATGATGCTTGCGTTTGTTGAATGTTCTTCGCTTATTACTGTTCCATTCCATTCCATAATGAGAAATGTCTTGAATATTACTATTGGATAATAGAGCGTCCCGATAAGATCGCCGTAATGCAGTCTGTCACTCTTATCGCCAGCTCTTATTGCTTCAAGGTTTTTCCTTTTCTTGTCCAAATGTTCGATTGTAAGTAAAGTTCTTCTATTTGCTTTAAAAGTTTGTTTTTAGTCGTAAATGTTTGTAGACGGTGTTCAATGATGACAAAAATGCTACACGAAGTCAGGTCCTGTCATCGACGTATTGGTTTGTAGAAAGCCTATTGTTAGCATACCGTGAAGGAATGTGCTCCACTGCTGGGACAATTTTACAGCGTCATCACCATCAACCTTCAAATATTGGTCCAATGGTACCGGTCTATCGTAGCTTAGTACCGTACATTCCTTAAATACTAATACAAGATGTGGTGACTATTCCTTGTCGTGCTTGGCCTCATTAACGAACCTACGAAAATATGAACAGAAGCAGGAGTGATGCGGATAAGACACAGACAAATCTCGACGTGTGGTGTTCGCAGATAGTGGAACTATACAAAGCTAAGCCCATGACTTTGTAAATAAACTCGGCTGGATTTTAATGCCTTTCAGCAGCTGCTTAAAAGGCCAAGTTAGGGGTCTTCATTACATTGAGGTGATCCGCAAAATGGTGACAAACCTGATGGTTATGTATCGTACAGATGTTTCTTTTAAGTCTAACCGTGATATGACCATGTTTATGTAAAGCGATGGGTTGTTTGCGTCATGCTCATTGCTGTGCTCAATAAAAATTAAATCAATTCATTACAATTGGACCGGATTTTCCTGCTTCGCGAAGAAAAACATAAACGAGCGACAGGAATGCATAGAAAAAAACATTATCTCTATCAAAGCAAATCCTTTCGTTGTAATAACATAACAAAATTATGATTAAGGTAACGTTTAAATGAAAATGAGTCAGTTGAACTTTTTGAGGACAAAAGGGAATATTTACATAAAACTAAGATTACAAATCTAGCATCATATAGGAATATATCAATGAGAAAATACAAGCCAAAAAAGGCTAAATAAACTAAATATACCTGTAATAGTAGGCTAGGTCGATGTACATTCATGCTCTTTTTAACCTTTACTTAAGCAAGTTTAATACTCAATCAAATCTTCACATGACAAAGTCACTTCCATGCCAAGAGTGTCAGAACCTTGTAAAAAGGCTTCCAGCATAATCCCACTTTACCACTACAACGTGTTTATCAAAAATGTTTTCTATAAATGGATTTCAATTGGTTGAGGCAAATGTCCAACCCAGATCTAACTTTTGCCGAATGCAAATATTTTTCTTTGGATCTGTTGGTTCATTTCCTGTCGACCAATCAAGCAGAATCTCATTGTAATCGATGAAGTTTTGCGGTGCTTCATACCTTAATTGGTTGGTAAAATATAGGAACCAAMATCACTTTTAAAATTTTAGCGGTTGTCATCGAAAAGACATTCACTGATTGATTTTTTTAGTTGTTAAATTATCACTTTGCCGGCTTTTTAATGTTTTATTATATAAAGAACACCGTTTTGTTTGAGAGAATGTCTTTTTTACAAATATATTCTCAATATGTCTTTTCATATATATTTTTCACGTATGGCCATAAAATTCAAATGATAAAATCAGTAGTTTGTAGTTATAAAATCACTGTTCTGATTTTGCAATTGACATGCGTACTAACGCTTTGCAGAATCTGCTATATCAGCACCCCACAACAGTCTAGCAGATTGTCGACCAATATGAGTTTTGCTTAAACGTCGGACACACTTATRTCTATTCGTCTGATTTTTAGTTCCATTTAAGAGTTGTAGAATGAGATGAAAAACATTACATTATTGYTCAATAAATGTATTAATCTGGCATCAGTGTGAGACAATGTAAGTCTTGCTTGTTTTTAAGAATAACGTTATTTTCACGTGTATTATAAAATGCTTTATGTAAGAACTGTATTACAAGCTTGAACGAAAGACTGATATCATGCGGATATCGATTTCAAATATTTCAATATCATGCAAACATCGTCTGATTTTTCATTGGAATATTGTCATGCGCACTAAGATCTAGTGAAGTACAACATTACATATTAACGCGGTTCGTCTGATRGAATTAGAACCAAAATGAGTTTTAAATATATCAATAACTCGCTCCACATAAAAGCACTTGTCCGATAGTTATCATTCATATTATTATACGAACAGATTAGAACACTGCGATCTCTATGTACACCAGACGAAAATTGCTGATAAAATGCTAATCTAATAGAMTGCCAGCGAATATGTTATGTTATCCTATTAGGTTCTTAAACGAAGCATGATTCGGTTTGTCACTATACAGGCGCGTTAGTATTTCATCTACGAAAGAGTGACCGATACCTACAGTCAGCATCAAACCATGATTGTGTTTTTTTATTGATATTATTCGACGTTTATTAGTTTTGTCGATATAGTTTTTTTTTTTTTTGAGAAATCTTAAATCAAAAGCAAAGTCTATAGCTCGCTTTCTTCGCGGTCTGGTCGGGTCATCGATTGGTACAGCCTTATTGTTCAAAAAACCTGGCTGACAGGCGATGCCGACGCCAGCGATTTATAACTGTACTCTTTTGATAATGAAAGTCTCCTCGATCCTTAAATCCGGCGCTGACTCTTCATTGTGTCATAGCAAGGAAGTCTTTGTATTTTCTTTTAAGATCAAAATCGTCACTGGGTATGTTATGGCATATAATTGTCATAGCTAGCTCATTAAAAAAAAGTGCAGTTCTATAGATAAAATGGAGTAGAATTGATTACTAATAAATGGATAATTGACGGCTTTTCATAAAAAGAAAACAAGCAAAAAAAAACACGCGACGGGAATATGGAAGACTCGAACTTTCTAGAAAATGTCCATAATATACCAGAAATACGCCTGTTCGCACCCACTCACTTAGCTCACGTCACCATATCAAGGAGGAACTAAACAAAAAATACTCCAATTCGAAATTCCAATTCCACCATAGAAATTTGTCAAATAGGAAAATTATATYTATTTTTTATTTATTTATTTAATTATTAAAATCACTCTGAATRCAATTGAATCAAATCAGGCCTCGCAGTTTTTTTGTCAGGACTATTTGATGCGAGGGCAATAAAAAGAATAAGAAAACTAGTACAAAATATCAAAAATTCACAGTTTTGCAAGGAAAAAAAGAACAAAAGTGGGCCATAAGAGGAAAAGTACGTAATATTTGAATTATTAATTTAATAAATATCATTAACAAATATAAAACGACGCGCGTGTCTCTCTGTCCTCATGATATAAACAAGGTGAGAGTTCGAAAAACACGAGAGAAGCAGGCTTAGGAACACAAGCGTGGCGAGTGTTTCTCTTGCTTCTCGAGTGTTTTTCAACTCCCACCTTGTTTTTATCAGAGGACAGAGACACAAGCGGCCGTTTTATATTTCTTTTATAAAATTTTTCGAGCGAAAAGCAAATTTTGCTGGTAAGCCGTGTCTCTGTCCTCTAATGATAAACACGGTCGTCAGCCAATCAAAGCGCGCGTTATATATCGAAAATTTTATTGAGATAATTATAAAATGATGACAGAGGAGTTCCTCAGTATAAAGCCTTGAGCTCGTCAATAATCTGGTCGATATCTAAAAAAATCGTCTGTTTTTCTAAATATCGAGAAAGATGCTCTTAATATTTTTAACTTTATGGGCATTGTGTATTGTGATCTGAATAGCGCATTCATAGAAGACAAACATGGGAAAATGAGCGGGCAGCTGTTACCCAATTGTCACCCCATAAGAAACAGGGAAGATTATCCGTTACAAATAAAATGAGAGAAACCACYGGSTTTTCAACAAGCTATAGGCGTCTAGTAACTCCTTGATATTCTCGAGTTATGTTTGGCAAAACCAGGTCGAAATCAAGGAAAATGGCGAATTGATAGAAAGAATTAAGACAGGGCCAAACAAAGTCCATAGTCATTAGAACTCGGTTAAGAGGTATTTAATGGCTTGAATAACAATGGGTTTCCAAAAATAKTGTTTCAAGAAGTACCATTCTCAGTCATGACACCGCAGACTTGATGCCTATCAATTAAAAAACCACAAAAGACAATTATACCCAGAATTCATTTTTTCATTTAATCTCATGGTGTCATCCATCTTTCTTCTACATTTCTGTACTCTTTGGCGTGCGTCCTSTAGTAAAATCAGTGGCCTGAGTGATCGAGTTAGGAAGAAAACGTAAGAGAGGGAGGGAGGGAGGRGGGGGGGGCATGTGTTGACCGAAAACGCAGATTATTCCAGGCTAAAACCGACCAAAACCTATACCACTATAATTAAACGACCCTGTGCCAGACAAAAAACATACCCTATCCCTGTATCCCAGACAAAATATCAAAAAAGGATATCTTACCACACTGACTTTCAGTAAAAGCAGAAAAATCATACACTACAGCTAGGCACATACTAAATCGTCTTGGTCATATTTTAGCCGATMACTGAGTGATGCGCGTTATAGTGTTTCTGTGCAGTAAACTCGTATCAGTATTTTACAGTTATTAATCAATAATTGCTCATGACAATAATACTTTTAAGTCATTTTCTTTTTAATATTTACTTGTACATGCAGTTATATCACAGTCTGTTTGCTTTTTGTGGCTACTACGAACATAGGCTACCTAACTATTGCTTGAGAGAAAGAAAAGAACGAATACGCACGCTTTTATATTATGTTCTCGAATCGCATCGCGCTGCGGGTTTCCTGTGGTATTACGTCATTGATCCCTTGCCTCGCGGGTATGTTTTCGAAACGGCGCACGCTTCGGGTTACTTTACGTCACGATCCCGCGCCTCGCGGGATACAAACTAGTCTGTGACAAGGTATGAAACACTGGTCACGTGACAAATATAATTTTGCTCCTATTTCACCGAAAATCAGCAGAAAACGACGATTTTCTTTCAAATAACTACACATCGCCAGATTCCCTAACTGTCTCACGATTTTCAGCGTGAAATGTTTATTACATGACGAGAAAATGAAAATTAAGCATTTTACTCGCCGTGGACCGATGTGTGCACCAGCATGCCTGTCTATCCCTCCCTATCGTTTTTTTCCGTAAAGACTTCGA